TTTCCAAACCTAGCAAGGCAGGCCAACATTTAAGTCCAGGAAATACAGAGAACACCACAGAGTTATTCCCCAAGAAGAGCAACCCCAAGGCACATAATTGTCACATTCACTAGGGTTGAAATGCTAAGGGCAGCCAGAGAGAAAGGTCGGGTTACCCAGAAAGGGAAACCCATCAGACTTACAGCGGATCTCTCCGGAAAAACAAGCCAGAAGAGAGTGGGGGCCAATATTCAACCTCCTTAGAGAAAAGAACTTTCAACCTATAATTTTATAAAGCTTCATAAGCAAAGGAGAAATCTTTCATGAACAAGGAATTGCTCAGAGATTTCATCACCATCAGCCCTGCTTTACAAAAGCTCCGGGAGGAAGCACCAAACATAGGAACGACCAGTACCAGCCACTCCAAAAAGTACCAAATAGTAAAGAGCTTCAACACTATGAAGAAACCACATCAACTAATGGGCAAAACAACCAGCTACTCTCAAAATGGCAGGATCAAATTCACACATAATACTAACCTTAAATGTAAATGTGCTAAATGCCCGAATCAAAAGACACAGACTGGCCAATTGGATAATAAGTCAAAACCCATCAGTGCACTATATCCAGGAAATCCATCTCACATGTAAGGATACACATAAGCTCAAAATAAAGGGATGGAGGAAGATCTTATCAAGCAAATGGAGGGGGAAAAAAAAGCAGGAGTTGCAATCCTGGTCTCTGATAAAATAGACTTTAAACCAACAAAGATCAAAAGAGACAAGAGAGCATTACATAATGGTAAAAGGATCAGTGCAACAAGAAGAGCTAAGGATCCTAAATATATACACGCCCAACACAGTAGCACCCAGATACATAAAGCAAGTTCTTAATGACTTAGAAAGAGACTTAGAATCCCACACAATAATAGTGGGAGACTTTAACACTCCACTGTCAATATTAGATCAGTGAGACAGAAAATTAACAAGGATATCCAGGACTTGAACGCAGACCTGGACCAAGCAAACCTAATAGATGTTTACAGAACTCTCCACCCCAAATCCACAGAATATGCATTCTTCTCAGCACCACATCACACCCACTCTAAAATTGACCACATAATTGGAAGTAAATCACTCCTCAGCAAATGCAAAAGATCAGCAATTATAACAGTCTCTCAGACAACAGTGCAATCAAATTAGAACTCAGAATTCAGAAAGTAACTCAGAACCACACAACTTCATAAAAACTGAACAACTGACTCTTGAATGTTGACTGGATAAACAGTGAAATGAAGGGAGAAATAAAGATGTTCTTTGAAACCAATAAGAATGAAGGCACAACATACCAGAATCTCTGGAACACAATTAAAGCAGTATCTAGAGGAAAATTTATAGCAATCAATGCCCACATGAGAAGAAAGGAAAGATCTAAAATTGACACCCTATCATCAAAATTGAAAGAGCTAGAAGAGCAAGATCAAAAAAACTCAAAAGCTAGCAGAAGACAAGAAATAACTGAGATCAGAGCAGAACTGAAGGAGATAGAGACGCACAAAAAAACCTTCAAAAAAATCAATAAATCCAGGAGCTGCTTTTTTGAAACAATCAGCAAAATAGAGCACTGGCCAGATTAATAAAAAAGAAAAGGGAGAATAATCAAATAGATGCAGTAAAAAATGGTTAAGGGGATATCACCACAGATTCCACAGAAATACAAACCACCATCAGAGATTACTACAAACAACTCTATGCAAATAAACCAGTAAACGTGGAAGAAATGGATAAATTCCTGGACACTTACACCCTCTCAAGGCTAAACCAGGAAGAAGTCAAAACCCTGAATCAACCAATAACAAGGGCTGAAATTGAAGTAGCAATTAATAGCTTACCAACCAAAAAAAAGCTCGGATCCAGATGAGTTCACAGCTAAATTCTACCAGGCATACAAAGAGGAGCTGGTACCAGTTTTTCTGAAACTATTCCAAACAATTCAAAAAGCAGGAATCCTCCCCAAATCATTTTACAAAACCAATATCCTGATGCCAAAACCCAGCAAAGACTCAACAAGAACAGAAATCTTCAGGCCAGTATCCATGATGAACACTGATGCAAAAATCTTCAATAAAATACTGGCAAATCGATTGTAGCAGCACATCAGAAAGCTTATCCATCACGATCAAGTAGGCTTCATCCTGGGGATGCAAGGCTGGTTCAACATACACAAGTCTATAAACGTAATTTACCACATAAACAGAACCAAAGACAAAAACCACATGATTATCTCAATAGATGCAGAGAAGGCTTTGAGAAAATTCAACAGCCCTTTATGCTAAAAACTCTTAATAAACTAGGTATCGATGGAACGTATCTCAAAATAATAAAAGCTATTTACAACACACCCACAGCCAATATCATACCGAATGGGCAAAAATTGGAAGCATTCCCTTTGAAATCTGGCACTAGACAAGGATGCCCTCTCTCACCACTCCTATTCAATATAATGTTGGGAGTTCTAGCCAGAGCAATCAGGCAAGAAAAAGAAATAAAGGATATTCAATTAGAAAGGAGGAAGTCAAATTGTCTCTATTTGCAGATGACGTGATTGTATATTTAGAAGACGCATCGTCTCAGCCCAAAATCTCCTGAAACTGATAAGCAACTTCAGCAAAGTCTCAGGATACAAAATCAATGTGCAAAAATCACAAGCATTCCTATACACCAATAACAGACTTAAAGGAAGCCAAATGAAGAACAAACTGCCATTCACAGTTGCTACAAAGAGAATAAAATACCTGTGAAGACCACTAACAAAGGATGTAAAGGATCTCTTCAAGGAGAAATACAAACCACTGCTCAAGGAAATAAGAGAGGACACAAACGGAGAAACATTTCATGCTCATGGTTGGGAAGAATCAATATCATGAAAATGGCCATACTGGTCAAAGTAATACACAGATTCAACACTATCCCCATCAAGCTACCAATGATCTTCACAGAACTGGAAAAAACCACCTTAAACTTCATTTGGAACCAAAAGAGAGCTCACATAGCCAAGTCAATTCTAAGCAAAAAGAACAAAGCTGGAGGCATCACGCTACCTGACTTCAAATTATACTACAAGGCTACAGTAATCAAAACAGCCAGTGGAACAGAACAGTGGCCTCAGAGGCAATGCCACACATCTACAACCATCTGATCTTTGACAAACCTGACAAAAACAAGCAGTGGGGAAAGGATTTCCTGTTAAATAAATGGTGTTGGGAAAACTGGCTAGCCATGTGCAGAAAGCAGAAACTGGACCCCTTCCTGACACCTTAGACTAAAATTAACTCCAGATGGATTAAAGACTTAAACATAAGACCTAACACCATAAAAACTTTGAAGAAAACCTAGGCAAAACCATTTAGGACATTGGCATAGGCAAGGACTTCATGATTAAAACACCAAAAGCATTGGCAACAAAAGCCAAAATAGACAAATGGGATCTAATTAGACTCCAGAGCTTCTGCACAGCAAAAGACACAATCATTAGAGTGAAGCAGCAACCAACAGAAAGGGAAAAAATTTTTGCAATCTACCCGTCTAACAAAAGACTTATATCCAGAATTTACAAAGAACTAAAACAGATTTACAAGGAAAAAAAAAAACCCATTCAAAAGTGGGTGAAGGATATGTACAGACACTTTTCAAAAGAAGACATATATGAGGCCAACAAACATATGAAAAAATGCTTATCATCCCTGGTCATTAGAGAAATGCAAATCTAGTTGTATATATGTATGGGGTATATAAGGTATTTGTGATACAAGCATGAGAATCATAATAATCACATTATGGAAATGGAATATCTGTCATTTCAAGTATTTAACCTTTGTGTTACGAACAATTCAATTATACTTTTATTTTAGAATACACAATTATTATTGATTATAGTCACTCTGTTGTGCTATCAAGTACTATGTCTTATTCATTCTTTCTAACTACTTTTGTACCCATTAACCATCCCCACTCCTCCCCAACCCTTCCACTTCCCTTCCCAACCTCTGGTAATCAGCCTTCTACTCTCTGTCTCCATGAGTTCAATTGTTTTGATTTTTAGCTCCAACAAATAAGTGAAAACATGCCTTTCTGTACCTAGTATATATTATTTAACATGATGATCTCCAGTTCCATCCATGTTGTTGCAGGTTACAGGATGTCATTCTTTTTTATGGCTGACTAGTACTTTCCATTGTGTATAAGTACCACATGTCTTTTTCTTTCTTTTTTTTTTTTTTTTTTTTTTTCCAAGACAGAGTCTGGCTCTGTCGCCCAGGCTGGAGTGCAGTAGCACAGTCTTGGCTCACTGCAACCTTCGCCTCCCAGGTTCAAGCAATTCCCCTGCCTCAGTCTCCTGAGTAGCTGGGACTACAGGGGCATACCACTATACCCAGCTAATTTTTGTAATTTTAGTAGAGACAGAGTTTCACCATATTGGCCAGGCTGGTCTGGAACTCCTGACCTCATGATCTGCCTACCTAAGCCTCCCAAAGTGCTGGGATTACAGGCGTGAGCCATTGTGCCCAGCAGTACTACATTTCTTTATCTATTCTTCTGTTGATGGGCATTTAGGTTGCTTGGAAATCTTGACTGTGTAGACAGTGCTGCAACAGACATGGGAGTACAGATTATCTGTTTGATATACTGATTTCCTTTTTTTTTTCGGTATATACCCAGCATTTGGGATTGCTGGATTGTATGGTAGCTCTGTTTTTCGTTTTTTGAGGAGCCTCCAAACCATTCTCTATAGAGGTTGTACTAATTTACATTCCCACTAACAGTGTCCAAGGTTTCTTTTCTCCTAACAACCTCACCAGTATTTGTTATTACCTGTTTGTTGAATAAAAGCCCATTTGACTGGGATGGGGATGATACCTCGTTGCAGTTTTGATTTGTATTTCTCTGATAATAAATGATGTTGAGCACTTTTTTTTTTTTTTTTTTTTTTTTTGAGACAGAGTCTCACTCTTGTCTCCCCAGGCTGGAGTTCTGTGGCACCATCTCGGATCCCTGCAGCCTCGACCTCCTGGGCTCAAGCAGTCCTCCCACTTCAGTCTCCAAGTAGCTGGTACCACAGGCATGCACTACCACACGTGGCTAATCTTTGTACTTTTTGTAGAGATAATGTTTCACTGTGTCACTCAGGCTGGTCTCAAACTCCTGAACTCAAGCAGTCTGCCCACCTCGCCCTTCCAAAGGGCTGGGATTACAGGCATGAGCCATGAGCACTTTTTTGTATTCTTATTTGCCATTCGTATGTCCTCTTTTTACAATTATCTATTCAAAGCTTTTGAGCATTTTTTTTTATTTTTTTGAGACAGGGTCTCACTTTGTTGCCCAGGCTGGAGTGCAGTGGTGTAGTCACAGCTCACTGCAGCCTCAACCTCCTGGGCTCAAGCAATCCTCCTGCCTCAGCTTCCTGAGAAGCTGGGACTAGAGGTGCACACCACCATACCCTACTAATTTTTTATTTTTTCTAGAGAAAAGATCTCGCTGTATTCCCCAGTCTGGCCTCAAACTCAGTCTTAAGCTATCTTTCTGACTTGACCTCTGAAAGCACTGGGATTAAAGGCATGAGCCACCATGCCCAGCTTCCCATTTTTAAATCAAATTATTAGATTTTTTTTTCTATAGAGTTTTTTGAGCTTCTTATATATTCTGGTTGTTAATCCGTTATCAGATGGGTAGTTTGCAAAAATTTTATTTCTTTCTGTAGGTTGTCTCTTTACTTTCTTAACTGTGCAGAAGCTTTTTAACTTGATATTATCTGATTCAACCATTTTTGCTTCAATTGCTTGTGCTTGTGGAGTATCACTCAATAAACTTTGGCCCAGACCAATGTCTTAGAGAGTTTCCCCAATACTTTCTTGTAGTAGTTTCATAGTTTGAGGTCTTAGGTTAAGTCTTTAATTCATTTTGATGTAATGTTTTCATGTGGCAAGAGATAGGGTATAGTTTCATTCTTCTGCATATGAATATCCAGTTTTCTAAGAATCATTTATTGAAGAAACTACCTTTTCCCCCGTGTATGTTCTTGGCACCTTTGTCAAAAATGAGTTCACTATAGGTTTGTAGATTGGTTTCTGGGTTCTCTATTCTCTTCTACTAGTTAATGTGTCTGTTTTTATGTCAGTACCATGATGTTTAGGTTACAAAAGCTCTGTACTATAATTCGAAGTCAAGTAATGTGATTCCTCCAGTTTTGTTCTTTTTGCTGAGGACGGCTTTGGCAATTTTGGGTCTTTTCTGTTTCCATATAAATTTTAGCGGTTTTTTTTTCATTTCTGTGAAGAATGTCATTGGAATTTTAATAGTTATTGCATTGAATCTGTAGATTGCTTTGGGTATGATGGACATTTTAACAATACTGATTCTTCCAATTCATTAACATGAAATATCATTCCATTTTTTTGATGTCCTCTTCAGTTCCTTTCATCATGACTTACAGTTTTCATTGTAGAGATCTTTCACTTCTTTAATTTCTAGATATTTAATTTTATGTGTAGCTATTATAAATGGGATTACTGGTTTGATTTCTTTTTCAGATTGTTCACTGTTGGCATGTAGAAATGCTACTGATTTGTGTATGCTGATTTCTGTATCCTGCTATTTTTTTAATTTGTACTCATTATGCAGTTGAAACAGTGTTATGATTTGATTCTTTTTCAATCTCTCGCTTGCTTTTTAAATACTAGTTATTATAAATTTGAAGTTTATTTCTACTCTTTCATTTTTTTTACTTTCTTGTGTATTTAAGGTTGTTACTTTCTTCCATGTCAGTGTCCTTGTGTAGACATTTAATTCATCTTTTTGTAAACTGATACAGGTATTTAGAGCAATATGTATTCTGAAGTACTGCCTTTGGCAGCTTTCCATAATCTTGGAATGTTGTAGCAACACTTACTATTTAACAAAAATAAAGAAAATATCTGTCTGGATTTCAGCCCGGTCTCAAACATTGCATATTTATACATCAATATGAGTTCGATATTATAGCTACAGGTCTTCCTTCAGCTCACCTTGGAAAAAAAGCCTAAAATTCACAGATATATTCTTTTTTTTTTTTTGAAACAGGGTCTTGGTCTGTCTCCCAGACTGGAGTGCAGTTGGTTTAATCTCAAGTTCACTGCAACCTCCACCTCCTGGGTTCAAAGGATTCTTGTGCCTTAGCCCCTGAGTATCTAGGGTTACAGGCATGAGCCACCACGCAGGCTAATTTTTTTATTTTTAGTACACATGGGGTTTCACCATGTTGAACAGGATAGTCTCAAACTCTTGGCCTCATGTGATCTGCCTCCCTCAGCCTCCCAGAGTGCTAGGATTACAGGCATGAGGCACTACATGCAACCATGTTCTCTTTAGGTTCCTTATCTTCCATATGAAATTATAAATTTTACCCTTTGCTTGATTGTCCATGCATGGAATCTGACCTACTAAATAATCTAGAATTTCTGTATTCCAGATTCTTGTTAATTAAAATAAACTCTCAGCTGTCAAATTCGTAAGTTTAGTTGCTAGAAAGATGAACTGAAGGATATGCGGTCCATTTCTATCCATTTACCCACCTATTCCATTTTATGCTTAGACCAATCCAGATGGTTGAAGTTTTTTACCAAGACTACATTGTTTCCTAGATAGAGTCATCTTTTCTGATCTCCACTTTGATACCATACTTTGGCCTACATCAACATATTTGTAAAGTTTCTTGTAAGAAAAGTTTATTTTAAAGCCATAATTGTATAATGTTGTTGATAATATTGTCTACACAGTGTCTCCAGAAAAGATACTTTGCTCATATTCAGTACCTAAAACTGATATTGGTTAAATCCTTCTTTCCTCTGGCTTCTGTGTTCAAAGGCAAACATGTGGCTCACCTCTGTCAACCATAGTTGACCTTATGATAACTATTTTTGGTACTTGCTCTACCTCTAGTTTCATCTCACTTTCTTACCCACCACCCCCTCACATACACACACAGATACATTTCTATATATTTTTATTTTCTGTATATCTCTGTAATTGCTTCAAATTCTCTTGTGCAGTGAGAGTGGTATAAATAAAAACTAGAATCAGATATACCTTGTATTTCTTTTGTCAGGTATATCAATTTGAAAGTAATATGGAAAGACCTTAGAGAGAGTGTATTACAGTGATTAAAAGATGGAAACTGGCCAGGTGCAGGGGCTCATGCCTATAATCCCAGCACTTTCAGAAACCGAGGCAGATGGATCACTTGAGGTCAAGAGTTCAAGACCAGCCTAGCCAACATGGTGAAACCTCACTTCTACTAAGAATACAAAAGTTAGCTGGGTGTGGTGGTGCATGCCTGTAATCCCACCTTCTCAGGAGGCTGAGGCAGGAGAACTGCCCAGGAAGCAGAGGTTGCAGTGAGCTGAGATTGTACCACTGCACTCTAGCCTGAGCAACAGAGCGAGAAACAAACAAGCAAACAAACAAAAATATGGAAATTTAGGATCAGAGCAATAAGGACGTAAATTTCAGCTCTGCTGCTTATTCGCTGTGTGATCTTAGTCAAGTTGCAGTATCTTTAAGCTTCACTTTCCTGATCTGCAAAATGGAGATAATGATAGTGCTGTCATGGGATGCTATGAGGATAGGAACAGTACATACCTTATAAGGTTGTTGTAAGGATTAAACTTAAAAATACATAAAGTACTTGGTATAACGCCTATCACTAAAAAATTGCTTATAAATGTTATTTATTATGTATTCATGTAATTAGGACGTGTAGCCAAACTTCAGAGAGTTTCTGAACACATTAAAATGTTAGCAAAATTTGACTGGAGAGGGGTCCTATATAATAATCAAATTGTTAAAAGGAACAGTCACTGAAAAAAAAAAGAATTACCGAAGAACAGGATTCCCTGTTAGAATATTTTAACTTTGCTTAACTCTACGTGATTTATGTTCTACTCCATTTTGATTTTGATAAGATTTGATGTGTCTGATAGATTACATTTCATCAAATATTTAAGTAGTTTTTCTTAGAAGTTTTTGGAACAAATATGAAATGGCCTTTTTGGTGAGTATTTTTGTTCTGAAATCTCATCTTTTGCTGCAATCTCAGTTTTCCTTTATTTGCATTGAGATGATTCAATACTGTCTTTTAACTTTTTGTCTATTACTAACATTTTAAGTGTGCCTCACTAACATAGGCAAAGTTTTGTGAAGTTTAATTATTAATGAAACCCCTTTATATAGGGTAACTCAAATAGCTTCCATTTATTACCATGATTGTCAGTATTTGTCTTTTTCTCTCTCATTAAGTTTTTTTTTTTTTTTTTTTGCTGTTTGCTTTGCCTTCATTTGTAGAATTTTGGGGACACATTTACTTTTTATCAGAATTATAAATCAATAAAGTAAATAAACTTACTTTTTATCAGAATTATAACTTTTAACATTAAAATGTATGCTAATAGAGTTATTTTTATTCTAACATTATTTTCTATTTCAGAAAAAATAAAAGCAGTTATAAGAATATAGAAAACATGTTACTTTTAAAAGACAAAATAATTCATCAGCATAAAAAGGTTCAAACCAGTTAGATGCGTAGTCCCTGAGATAGCAAGTTGGGATTCTTTGTATGAAAGACCACTCAAAGAATGTGTAGGAATAAAAGTTAAGCTTTTAGGCTTATATATCTGGCCAGGGACGTGTACAATTTTATATCTGGATAAGCGTGTAAAAGGAATCATTGGCACTCAAGATCGGCTTGTCTGCCAGCACAGTCAGCCGTTTGCAAATAATACATTTTCTCACTCCCTCCTGAATTTCTAACAGTTTTAATTATTATATAAACCTTTCTGTTTTGTGTTCACTCAATCCGTGATCCTTACTATTTAACATACTGGGATAGGAGACAGCATCAACCTCTTTTAGAGATACAGTAACATTCAATCTAATAATGTTTCTTATCTTTCATACAGGCCAAATAATACTATATGGCTAATGCAATGGTTTATGGTAACGTAGGCCATAATTAAGAAACAGGCTAAAATATTAATATGTCTCTTCCAGCATCTTGAAATAGCACTTAACTAGAATTTGGAGAGAGTGATGGTAGAAAAATTCAGATCGCATTATTCCCTGTAATAGATATGATTGCCACCTTCCTAACATTTTAATATGTAATATTTAATTTCCTAATACTGTAATTTCTCTCTTGAGTTATGGGATTTACTTTATCCTTCTTAAGCTGGGGAGCTTCTTTAGTTTGCTGCACTAGCTACTGTAATTGTTGTACTCCAAGTCTTACTTCCTCTTATGTTGCTGAGCTGACCCTGAAAACCTTGTCCCATTTGAAAAATCCCTACTTACACTTAGGTTTATATCTTCTATCCTCTCATAAGCCTATGTAGTTTTCTTCTCTGTGCTTCTAACCATTTTAATGTATGATCTAGCATTTTCAGAATTTTTAATTTTTCCATGACCAGATAGCCAACCCAGTAAAAGCCACAATATCAGGGTTATAGGAGCCAGAGATTGAGTGAGTTAACAGCGTGAAACCATTTGTGAAAACTGTGTAGCCCTTATAATTATCAAAACATGTATTTAAATTTATTAATTAGTTCTACTTTGTTTTCTTGTTTTTAATGCTGAGTTTGGCATCCAAATTTGAAAATGAAAATAGTATTTGTAGGATGACTTTAAAACAATAAAAAATACTTGCCGGATTCTGTGTTTGGTAATGGCTAAGATTGCTCCTAATGGACCAGCTTTCCACAGATTAGCAATCATAAATTCTGGACAAAGTATAAAAAAGCACTGAAGGCAAATGGAGAGCAACCACTTCAAAGAAGAAAATGACACTGAGTGACTTTCCTGTTTTTTACAACTTCTAGCCTGAGAAAAGGTTCCATCCTTGGGGCAGCCAAAACTTGAAGAGAAATCCACTGTTATATTGGCTTGAAAAATCAGAAGATAAAATTGTAGTCACTATGGCAGTTGTAAAGGGAGTGGAAAATCTTAAAAAGAAGACACCAAATAGAAGAAGCCCCAACTTTTATTATAAAGTCTGTCAAGTTTTTATCTGTTACCTGAACTACACATATGAAAGAAAGGCTCCAAACAGCACAATTAAGGATAAAGGAATTGAACTGAGATTTCAGGTGACCTATGTATGAGAGACAGAGTTTGGGATTTCAGTTCAGCCAAGTTAATTATTTGCTAAAATAATCAAAAATCAATGTTTTTCAGAAGAACATAGCAGAATCCAGACTCTAAAATATGTCACTCACAATGTCCAGGACAAAGTTACCAAATATATGAAGAAACAGAAAACATATAACTCATACTTAGGAGCAAAAACCAAAACTCAAAAGGCAAGGGAGACAATGCCACCACCACCAAGATAACCTAGATTTTGGATTTATGAGACAAAGCATTTATGCTCAAGGGTTTGAAGGAAAATACACTTGGATAAATAAATAGGAAATCTCAAGAGAAATAGAAACTATTAAAAGAACCAAATAGAAATTCTAGAATTTAGAATTAAAATATAGTATTTAAAATAAATGTCACTAATTGTTGCTTTGCAGCATATTGGAGAGGAAGGAAGTGTCAATTCACTTAAAGATAAATCAATAGAAAGTATCCAATCTAAAGAACAGAGGACAGTGTGAAAAGATTATAATAAAACAGACAGAAGTTCTGGGGTCTAATTATGTGTAATTAGAATCCTCAAAGAGAAAGAGGAAAATGAAGCTGGAAGAAGTAGTTGAAAAAATAATGATCTAAACTTTCCAATTTTGGTGAAAGATGTAAATTTATAGTTTCAAGCTTAGCAAACCCAGTCAGGATAAATATGAAGAAAATTTCATCTAGGGTCATTACAGTTAAAGTGCTCCAAACTGAAAAGAATAAGAAAATCTCGAAAACAGAAAAATAAATTACAGAATTACATAAAGGGACATCAATTTAAATGATCACTCACTCTTCATTAGAAACAATGAAGGCCAGAAGACACAGAAACAGTAATTTTTAAATGCCAAAAGAAAAAAGCTGTCAACTCTGAAATACATATCCAATGAAGATATTAGTAAAGAACAATGGAGAAATAAAAACATTTTCACATAAAAGAAAACTAAGGAGATTAGTTACCAGCATACCTACCTACACTGTAAGAAATGCCAAGAAAATTCTACAGACTGAAAAGAAATAAAACCAGCTTGAATTTCAGCTCTTCAGGAAGGAATGAAGAACATCAGAAATAGTAAATATGTGGGTAAATATGATTTTTAACTTATTTAAAATACATATGCAAAACAAAAATAATATTGTGAGGTTTACATATGTAGATGTAATACATCTCTATGTATTATACATAATAACTGTAGCATCAAGGAGAGGGGGTAAATGGATTATACAGTTGCAAAGTTCTAACATTTTACATCAAGTGATACGATATTAACTACTGCTTAGATTGTGAGAAGTTAAGGATATATATTATAATCCCTAGAGCAATGGTTCTCAAATTTTTTGGTCTCAAGACCCCATCACACTCCTAAAAATTATTGAGGATGCCAGAGAGCTTTTGTTTGTGTATATTATATCTATCTATTAATATAAACCATACTATAAAAAAATTATTAAAATATTCATTTATTTAAAATAATAAATGTATTACATTCTAACAAATAATGTTTTATTAAAAATTTAAAAAACAAAATAATAGAAGATTGGCATTGTTTTACATTTTGCAGATCTCTTTAATATCTGACTTAATAGAAGACAGCTAGATTTTCATGTCTGCTTCTGCATTCAATCTATTGTGATATGTTGTTTAGGTTGAAGCATATGAAGAAAATCCATCCTCACACATATATGTAGTTGGAAATGGAGGAGAATTTTAATAGACTTTTCAGATAATTGTGGATATCTTCTTTAATACTACACCAAAACTCAGAAGTGGAGGTTTCTTAAAGGTTAGTTACCATGTGGAATACAAAACCATACTGGTGAACTTTTTGTACTCTCCATCAGTCATTCTTGCATTTGAATCATTTTGTAACATCATGCATTAATCATTTGGAAAAGAATGGTCCTAAATCTTCAATATGTTGATGCATTTTATTAGACAGTATTCAAAAGCATGTGTTAATATCAGATCATCTCATTAGAAAAGTCTTTTAAGAAGCTGTCTTATAGTACATTATGTACAAGTATCTAAAAATAACACTTTTCACTTAAAAGTTCACATTTTATCATTGGAAATAAATACTGCCCCATGTTTTCATTGAAGTGATAGTCACTTTATTTTTTAAAAAAAAGAAAAACAAAAAACATATGCCCAGTAGCCAAGTCCAAATAACCATTGTTTGTCTGCCAGAGTTGTCTGTCAAGTAAAAAATGGTGTTCTATGAAAAAAAAGGAGTTAGATCCACTCACAAGTCCATCACGTAAGTGCTTTTCCTCAAGACAGCTGCTGTATTTCAGTTTGAAGCAGAATTACTTTAGGGGCCTATCTCATCTTATCACACAGAATGTTAAATAAACATGTGCTCTGGGGTTTATATTTAACATATATTTTCACTATTCATCAAGAATATTCTTCAGTGAAACTGGCTTTTTTCAAGTATGAGTGCATGGTAGTGAAGAAGGCAGTCACTGCCAGTACACTTCATTGCCACCATCTTGATTTGTGCTAAGGCCCAATAATTTTACATACAATTGGTTTAGCACAGATAGTGAAAATATCAACACAATTGGCCCAGGATAAACAATCAGAAAGGTTATTCAACACTTTGATTATTTTGGTACCACTTGTGTTCCCTGTCAGCTGTTGACATAAAATAATATTTTCTTGGATGATTAGTTGGTGCTGACACCATATAAATACAACAAAATAAGCCCTGCTACATCTGTACATTCATTCATTTGTAAGGCAAAAATATGTTTATAGACAAAACATTAAATCAATCTTTATATTTTCAGTTAAATCTTTAAATCAGTGGATTTCTGTATAATTGGAAATGGCAATTCCATGGTTCTTTTATAAGCTTTTCATCCAGCAGGCATTCAGCAATGTCAATTATATAAGGCTATACTAGTTTCTCAGCTATTGTGTACTTTACTGGCCAATGCAATATAATAACTTAGCCTGTAAAATCCTTCAGTGAGTGGCCATTTCCTTGCTAGTCTGGAAAGTTATAAAAACAATATTTGGTGTTTAAAGCATTCATGATACCTACATTTAAAATTTCTATTTCTTTTGCTTTAAACTCTGAATGATAGGTCTCAAAATGATGCTGCAGCTTAACTTGGACAATAATACTATTCAAAAATGTTCTGTTATGGAAGATATAATAAGGTAAATTATTAACATTTATAAAGCCTACTAAAAGATAGTTTTCATGATAGTTTTTCTTATATATATAGTTTCACCCAGTTCATTTGAAGTAGATTCCTCTCTTCATTGAATCAGAGAACTTTTATCTTTCTCAGCATCTTAGAATTAAACAGGGAAGTTGAATGCTGGGAAAGATTATTGTGCTAAAATAGATAACACCAAATTTACCATTTTAACCATTAAGTGTAGTCATTGTCAAGTATAGTTCAGTGTCATTAAGTACCTTCATATTGTGCAACCGTCACCACTGTTCATTTTCAGAATGTTTTCTCATTCCATACTGAAACTCTGTATCCACTAATAATTCTCCCATTTCTAACCTAATGATCCATTCTTAAATATGAAAATATATATAATTTTTTATTTTAGGGTAAAATATTAAATTATAAAATCAGTTTTCTTTCAAATTAAATTTTTTAAAGTTTGAAAAAAATATTAAATATTGTAAAATAAATCTTCATGGTATACATATTCTTATGTTTTCATGTAGGTGTGAGCATAATTCTAAACCCATGGGTTAAAAACAGGAACAACAAGGGAAATTAGAAAATATTTCAAAGTGAAAGGTAATGAAATAAAATATATCAATTTGTGGAATGCAGTAAAAATTGAACTTGAAGGGAAAAGCATAGCTTTAAATAATATGTTAGAAAATAAAGATATAAAATGAGTGACCCAAGTTTCTGCCTTAGAAATGGTAGTGGGAGTGTGTGGAGTAGGAAAAAGTAAGCACAAAGTAACTAATAGAACTGAAATAGGCCATGCATAGTGGCCTTGGTAAGCTGAGGCAGACAGATAGTTTGAACTCAGGAGTTTGAGACCAGCCTGGGCAATATGGTGAAACTGCATCTCTACAAAAAATATAAAATTAGCCAGGTGTGATGGTGTGCACCTGTAGTCACAGCTGCTTGGGAAGTGGAAGTGGGAAGATAGCTGGATCATGGGAGGCAGAGGCTGCAGTGAGCTGAGATCATGACACTGCACTTCATCCTAGGCAACAGATACTGTCTCAAAAAAAAAAAGAACTTAAATAATAACAATAAAAATAGAGATCAATTAAATAGAAAACAAAAAATGGAGCAACATCAACAAATTTGATCTACAGGAAAATTTGAGCCATAGACTGTCTCAAAAAAAACTGAAATAATAAAGATAGAAATCAGTGAAATGTAAACCAAAAAACAGAACCATCAACAAATTTGATCTACAGGAAAAGAAAACAGTGAAAATACAAATTGCCAGTGTTATGAGTGAAAAAGGGAATATCACTATACATCTTGTACACATTAAAAGAGAAGAGGATATATGAACAACTCTTTGCTGTTAAATTTGAGAACTGAGATAAAATGGACAAGTTCTTTTAAAAATACAACTTTGAATTAAGATGAAATTGTATTTTATCTTAGATTTTGCAATCTAAGTAGACTCATAGTTATTAAAGAAATTAAAGTTGTTACCAAAAATTTCTCAAAACTCCAGACCCAGATGATTTTGCTGGTTAATACATCAAGTATTTAAAGAAGTAACACCAATAGTATACAGACTCTTAGAAAATAGAGGAGGGAAGAACACTTCTTACCGGGTTTTATTAGGCCAGCATTACCTGATGCTAAAACTTGACAAAGTTATTACAAAAT